CCTATTATTGGCCTAAATATTTTTTTTTTTTATCATTTTGACAATTTTCTTAAAAAATAGATGTTACTTCAGTTGATTTAAAACTTGTAAAAAATAAAAAAAAGCTATGCATTAGTGCGTATAAAAAATATTTAGAACCGCATGTCTTTATACCAAATTGTTCTATTAGAATGATTTTTTAGAAAATTTTAAACATTGAAAAACATTTAAAAAATCAACATCAACAAAAAAGTTTATATTTCTTTAGTTATTTAAAAATATAAAAACACTGTAGATAAATTTAAAGGGCATCGACGAGAATCTCAACTTAATTAATATGGATTTAAAGCTTATTAAACGAGCATGCTTTTTTTTAAAGTGGAATAAATGTAACACTGTGAAAGAGTGATAATAATTTTAAAATGACGAATAATTTATTCGTTTTTTTCCGAACTTAGCTGTGTTAGTGCACTTAAAATAATATATAATATATAAGTAAATAATATATAAAAATTACAAAATTATATTTTATATTATAATTTATTAATTAAAAAATTATATTTTATTTTTATATATATATATATATATATATAAAATTCCTATATCTTTCCTTCTATAATTTGGTTAGACATTTATTTTATTTACTTTTTATATATTAATCTTTTTTTTTTTCATCGCACTGAATTATAGTGTTCTTTATAAATAATTTAGAGAGATAAAATGATATTTTATTAAATGAAGTTTAGTTACGATCGATTTTAATGGTTTTAAAATTCGCAGCTCCTAGCAAAATTAAGTAGCAGCTAAATGTACAGTTGGAAATTCAATTGAAAATTGTCGCTTGATAACTTGCTTTTTATTATAAAATATTTATTTATATTTAAATAATTGGAAATAAAACATTTAATGATGCTATCATATTTTATTCTGTTTGCTATTTATGTAAACCGTGAATGTTTAGATTAAAATGTGGAAGAAATATAATGACTCGCTAGTTGGGTTTTTAATTTATTGTTTTATAATCAATTAGAGGCGATCGGAGCGCTGTGCGACGTTGCCGGATCGAACTATCGCTCCGTTGCCGCCTCTTCGCTAAGAAATCTTCACGCTTCAATGACTAAGTACCCTCGCTTTTTGAAAAGTCGTACAAATATTGCATTATCAATTTTACTATTTATTGTTTTTGTTTTTATTTTTCAGTAAAATTAGATCAGTGTTGCTAATTAGCTCAAGTATATATATATTTTAAGATTTTTTAAATTTATTATTAAAGATGGATATGTAGTCGACTAATCTATTAAATTAAATAAAATAAAGAAAGCCGAATCCGATAGTAAAAATTGTCTGACTATTTAAATGATGAATTATATTTAAATATATCATTAATTAAATCATTATGAATAATATGTAATTGCATCATAAAAGGCTAGCGAGTATCTAACGGTTTTTGGATTTATTGGGTTTGGGTTATAATGTACATATTTTAAATTATACTAATATATATATATATAAATATTTTTTTCCTGCGTTTGCGTTTATGTGAAACTCTGTTAACCAGGAGAATATGTTAAATATTTATATTTTTAATTGAAAGATTGAAGGCCGTTAGATGAACTCTCAATGCTTCGATGCTTCAAATTTGCCGCGAAAAGTGTGTCTAAAAGTCTTCAGATATAATGGAAATATGCAAAACATAAATTCGTAGGCTATGTTGTTAGATATAATAATCTTTTAATATAAAGTATAATATCAATAATAGCAATATAAGGCCCGTTAAAATATTGTTACTTTAAAAAGGCTCACATTAGTTACCTTAGCATGGTGTGGACGAAATAAGCTACTTGAACGAATGAAACATGTAAACTAAAATCGACGTGTTTCTATGTTATTATCGACTAGCTAAGGGGTAATAACACAGAAGCACCTCTCACGTGGACACCTCCATTTTCACGTCATTTTCTAATGAATTTTCTACGATAAAGGTGAAAAAAATGTATTTAATAAATATAAATATAAATAGAGAATTATAGGAATTGTTTTTATTGACATTTTTTCATTAATTGTTAGACTGATATTTTAAGTTGGTACAAACTAAGAAATCAAAAATTAATTTCAGTTTTTTAATATTAGTCATCTTTAGCTGGAAAAGTTTTATAAATGTACCTATGTTATGAAGTCTCTCCACATGTTCGTTTCACACTAATCATGTTGAGTTTTTACACATAATATCTGCTATCTCCTTTTATTTATTTAGTTTTTTTTGTACATTGCTCTCCTCCCCCCCTCCCCCCAATCAAAATAGAAAGTCTGCACCTATGCAGGTGTTTATATTAGTGTAAATCTTAACATTTGCAATATTAATAAAAGTACCTCATGTGGCTACATAAAAATATATTTTATTACTGACGTCATACATTCCTCTTTTGCGTTGATGTTTATATATCGGTCCTGATTGATGCCTGTGTTTACGTTAGGATTCTCGGCCAAGTGGAAAAAACCCGATGTTTTCGAAAATGTTGTTGGGATTTAGAATGGGCCGGTTGAGTTATTGGTGTCCTGCCTGTTCCAGGATATATTGTATATCCAGTCCGGGGGCTCTCTGGAAGTAAGGGAACGTGTTTTATGGAGAATATATAAATAAATATTTTCTGTCATATGGTTTGGGTTATATTTAATATTGAAACTTCGTCATCGCTATCTAACCAGTTAAATAAAAATTTATTAAATTAAATCGAAAATTATATATTTCACTCTCATTTATTTACTTATGAAATACAATAAAAGGTAAAATATTAGGATTGTAAAAACTTCCGTGACTCGAATTAGTCAACGGAAATACGTATTAAAATGAACTTTCGGAAATGTTGATACAGGCCACTGTATCCACTCCGAACTACGAATATATCACTTTTTCCCTTCATCTTTGCGAAGTGCTGTGCCCATAAGCTTTCGATTTCGATTAGGGAAAAAAAAAAATAATTATTTTGAAACCAACAAATATAATATTGAATATTTAAATTTTTTTTTTTTTAAATATATATTTGTATAGTTGTAAGGATTTTTATTTCATCTTTTTTCACTTATTATGTATACGTGAAAATATCTAAAACAAAAAAAAAAGAAGTACAATGGAATATATAACGTATTTTTTTTTCGATTAAACTCAGAGGTGAGGAGGGACATCCTTCATAACACTGGTACATTTCTAGAAAATATTCAGATAAAAATGCGTTATATAAAAAAGTGAAAATTGTGTTTGATTTCTTTTTGTGTACAACGTCAAATAAAAATAAACTTTTTTCACAGTTCGACTTGTTTGTCGCAAAAAATGTGATAAGAATGACGGGTACTTTGATATATATTATAATTGAATATAAATGACAATTTAAATAAATGAAACATTTAGGTATCAATGAAATAGTTACATAACTACTACTAAGCTCTAGCCTAGCCAGCTAACTTTTCTTAATGGATTTTAGTTTACGCGTTGCATTCATTCATGTAGCCTCTGACCGATTTTAATTTTTTTTTTACCTGAAATTTCAAAGGAAGGGGGGCGAATTCATATGCTCGCACCCTCTACATTATTATTGGCCCCCTCTCCTCCGAAGTCTGCTCCTAAAGCCGTGCCTTCTAGTCCAATCAATGGATGGCAAAAAAGGGCTTGTAGACTGTATTTAAGATGGGCAAGTAATTGATTTTAGGGATTTGTTGAGGACACTTAGGAGGTAAACATACTAAAAGTCCCCGTCCCAAACCGTTCCGCTTCATGGTGGAGGGGACCGCCCCAAAGGTCACTTTTTCTACACGTTCTCGTATATCTTGAAAACGAGGAGACATAGACAAAACATGTCGTATACAAAATTAAAGCTAACTAAATTTCCTTTTGTAAAAATTATATTTATATCTTTCGTATATTTTATAGTTTTCGAGATATAAACAAACTTTTTCCCTCTGCAAGAGCCCTCATTTGATCAACACGGAGGTGTCACTTTATTATTGAATTATAATCTTTTTACTATTTTTCCAAAAAATATTCATAAGGAATATGATTTGTTATTTATACGTACAAATAAATATAAGATACAATAAGAGCTAGTCGATATTAAACAACATATTTAATAATATCTAGGTCTTATCCTCATTCTATAGGAATATTCTGCCAGGTCTGAAAAACATAATATTAAAAATAGCTTTCTCTAAACTATTCTTGGCCTCAATAATTAACTGTCTCTGTTAGTAGTTATAAATATAGATAAATATAAAGTGCGAAAGAATTTAATTATTACCGAAATTATAAATATTTTCTCTGCTTAAAAACACTTTTCCGGAAATATAAGTAGTATGATAAATGTATAATATATAATGAAAAAAAAATACTGCCTTATTTAAGGAATTACTTTATTTAATGAAAAGACTACTTTATTGGACCGAATCCTTTCTAAAATAATAAATTTTAGCAGGCTAATAGAGATAACCTATTAGAAAGGTAAAAACTAATATAGAGCGACCTAACCCCTCACAGAATCGTCGTATTATAGTTGATTTAAAACTATTTCGTTTTAATTTTGTGGTAGAAAACGTGAAGAATTGAATGATGTTGTAAATAGTTTAGTAGTGTTTACGAGTCGTTATAGCGTTAACAATTTCATTTTGATTACTTTAGATTTAATAGAACTTGTTTGGTACTATTTCCCTACTGTAGGAGAAATAGCTGATTGGATCGGAACAGGGAATGAAATGTCCAAAATGAAGTTTACATGAATATATTGAATTAATTAAGTTAAAATAAAATAAATTTAACATGGATGCTGTCATGGAATGAGCGATGCCAAATTATTTACATTTAAGATTAGTGATTTAGTGGAACATTTATTTGAAATAGTACTTATTACATAATTGAAGCTTTGTTATAAAAATTGTTTTTTTTTTCTCAACTCTTTCAAAATGAAAGATATCTATCTTTGATATGAAGCTACTCATTTAAAAAAATTAATTTCCACTCAAAATTGGTTACTATTTATTAGATGTGTGACGCAGGGCAGTGCAGCGCACTAGATTTTTATAAATTATTATCTTTCTTGTAGTGACATGGTTAGTGTTCTCGTTGGGAGCCGATAATGAGGACTGGAAAGGGGCTTCCCCTCAGATAGCGTTCTTTGGACTTTCCTTCCTCCCATCCTCCCCGAACTGGGTCAACTCAACTCTTTATAGATAGGGTCTTCTTCCTCCTCTTTGATGTCAGGAGGGGAAGGGTTTAATTGGAAGGGTACGAGGGTGCCTTGTAGGGTATAGCGAGCATGGTAAAGGAGAGTATCATGGAGGTTACTGTAACTATGTAAATAGTTAAATATAATAACAGGTTATTATTATCTCTTTTCGTCCTACCTATAGTAGAATAACTAACTTCTTGTTACATTTATCATTAATGTTAAATTAATTAATTTTTGAAGTGAAAACTCCTTTAGGCATGTCCTGCAGTTTTTTTTTTTTTAGAGATCGAATTAGATTGAGCCGTCAGTTCTCCGAAGGGTAACGCTAGGGAAAAGTCGGCTGGAGTCGACTACTTGACCTGTTTTTGCGTATATATTAGAAAAGAAAATAATTTTATTCTGGGACGAAGTCCCTTTAGAATAACATAAAGGTACAAAATTAAAGTATTATATCTGGCCTGAGTAAAAACAAACATAAAAAGTAAAAAAATAAAATAAAAAATATAGAAAATATTAGCTAAACATACTATGTACAAAATAAAAAAAAATCTATATACAAGACACTTAAAACTATGTACAGTGGTAAAATATAAGTATACACTTCTTAAAAAAATAAATAAGAAATACATTACATTCTTCTTAGCAATAAACTCCTATGTGTTTCTGCATTAAAAAAAAGAGGGGAAAAAAGGAAAACAAGACGAATCTAATAGTAAGTATTTAAATGATGAATTATATGTAACTATATCATTATGTGAATAATTTTGAATAATATGTAAATTTAAATAGAAGGTTAGCGGGGGAGGTCTGACTCTTTTTGGGATAGAAATTGGAATAGAAGGGTTTTAAATGTAAATATTAAAATATTTAAAAAAATAAAAATCAGGCGTACATATTGATGGCGTGGGAAATGTTCATCATTTCATACCTTTTGTAATGAGCTATTATTCGAAATTGTATCTTAACGCTACGCCGAATTAGAGAGGGAAAATAGAAAAAAAATAGTGTCGAAAAGAAAATGAAGAGGAGTTTTATTGAAGATAAGGATTAAAATATCTCAGAAACTAAAAATCAGATTTGCATACTGTAAGCGTGGGAATGGTTCACCATTTCATTCTCTCTATAATCGGTTGTTATTCAAAATTGTATATTGTTGGCAGTTGTTTGAATCGTCGTAACAGCCATGTATATTTTTATAAACCGATGTTTCACCTGTCACGTCTATTCACTAGAAGTACCTAATTTTGCCCAACACATATCTTTAGCTTTGAACAAAGAAATAGCAACAAAACAGCTCTAAATATGAAAAATATGGTTTTCAATTCTTTCCCTGTTATTTCCCAACAGAGTATTATTAATGCGATAGTCAAGTCATGAAGCGCAAACAAACGATATAAATTTGTCACTAATCCAGTCAAACTTGCGAATTTTCACTTTCGTTTTTCCTTCAGTGTGCCACTTCGCTATTCTCTATTAAATTTTCCATCGACACTTTTCTTGGCTGTCACGTCTTTTTTCTTTACTTTGGTTTGTTTAGAAAAACAATTGGCCAAACCATCGGAGCCTCCAGGTTTCAATATTTTATAAAAAAAAATGTCTGCCTATAGTGCAGAAGTTTTAGCCTTCAGATTTTGCAGCTTCTATTAATAAAAATCTAATTCTGAAGTTAGATAATTTTTGGATATATTATCGTATTGTTGTCCAGGGTTCGTCACTTTTCCTATCATTGTTCCTCAAGGACCGACTTCAATATTTCAATAATCGTTCCTCGAGATATATTCATTTTTTCATTTATTCAAACTCTTAATTATTTCTGTGCTCTAGGGAAGATACCAATTATATCATCTTTTCTTCTATTCATATAATTATTATATTTACGTCGTGATTATGGTGAATAGTTATATCTCTTAAAGGTCTTTAATGATAAAGGATATTTATTGATTTTTTTTTATTTTATTGAATGTAATTTTTTTAAATATTTGCAGTCCATAGCATTTTTATAATTTTGTAAAAGGTTACGTAAATTTCCGCCTGGTTCTAAAAAATATGAAACGTCATATTTATATATATAATAATATTACTCGAGAAGTTAGTATAGCGGTCATGGCCGGCATATACTAAGAACACGGGGACAATGGGGTCAGTGCGCATACTGTGCTGATTAAGAGGAACACTATTGTGTGTATGTGTTCTTACAGTCTGTTGAGTGTTGTCTGTTGTGTTGTATGCTGTTTGATCTGTGTTATAGGATTGTGTATAAACTATGTTTGGTAAGTTAAAGAGGTTAAAGTTAGTCTTATCGGTAATATAGAGGAAGATTCAACAATGGATATTTAATATTTAAAGTTTTATGTTTATCTTTTATATGTTTGGATAATTTCGTGCATTGTTAGTTATTTATGTGAAAATATTAAGGTTTAAAATTAAATTCACCATTGATAACTAAAATAAAAACATACCAAAACAAAATTTATGGTTGCAGAAAACATTATTACTCCAATCTCAACCTCTTTGCCTTCATATCATGAAATTATTGATTAATCAGTTTCTGACACGAGCTCTTTATTGTTTTTTTTTTTCTCCATGTGTTAGTACTCTTTTTATATTATATTGCTGCATGTAATAAGATTTACTAGAGCAGTGACTATAATATTATTGATCTGAGTGTAAAACATATCGCTTAAATGATAAGCGCTCATCCTAGCATCCGAGACGTAGGCGGGAGTGTTGTGATCCGACGGGAATCATGGTGTTGGAACTGCTCGTATCGATCGAGGTTTTAACTGTAATCGGTTCAGTGATGGTCTCGCTTTGTTGCATTAAGATATTTATAAAATTATTAGGTTGATGTAGATATTGTTGGCCGTTGATATAATATGAGAAGGAGTTGATGGGGTGGTGCGGTCAGATTAATAATAAATTAAGCAAGTAAAAAAAAATAATAAATTAACCAATTATATAAATAATAAATAAAACAAGTAAAAAAAAGTTGTTGTTTAATTTATTATTAATTTGACCGCACCCCCTCCCCTCTTCCCCCCGATCAACTCCTCATATAAAATTATTTGTTGGACTACTTTATAGCTAGTACAAAATTGATTATTTGTGCGTTTCGTCTGATAGATCAGTTGTGTTTTCCTCCCATGTTTTAACCCAGCATTATAATTAAGTTGATTTTTTTTCCTCTACCAACTATGTAATATGAATTAATTTATTAAATATATATTGTGAATGTGATCCTTCATTTTCATTATAATTGTCCTTAATTTAAATAGAATGTATCAATTCTGAATAAACAAGGTTTAAAAAAAAACATTCTTAAATGCATTGTAACTATAGCCTAACCTTAACCCTTCGTAACATATAGTATAACCATATTACGGTTGATATTATATTATATTATTATTATTTTATATATCTTATATAATATATTGTTCTATCGTAGAGAGGAGGAGATGGGAAAGAGAGAGAGGTTTGATAGCGGGCTCCGGGCCAGGCTAAATATGCAAGCTCGCTCTTACCTTGACGAATGTCTTAGTTTTAATTGAGTTTGTTTTATAAATAATTTAATGTTCTAGTCCACGTCAACTGGGTCGCTTCGTGAAGCTATTTTTTTTTCCTTCAAACAACACTCCCGCCCAAATATTTAGGTGACTGCATCTATGAAGAGCAATTTTAAGTATTACGTTAGAGATGAAAATTATGCATAAAAACGTTTCTCAGTATTAGCGATATGAAGGTTGTAATGTGTCGCCTGCTGGAGATTTAATTAGCTGTGCCATTTAGAAATGTCCAAAGCTTGAGTTGGCAATAGACCGATATGGTTAACGGATGACTATGGCTGCAAGATTTTGAATTCTTAAATATCTAAATATAGTGAAGTATAGGGTATAGTCTAGTATATTTTAAAACAAATGGGGATCTATATTATGGTAGGTGTCACTTTTGAGAGACTCATCTTGTCTTGTTTTTATCTTTTCAATATTGTATGTTTATTCCAATTAAAGTGAGTCATTTGTCTAATGATGTGTTACGTAAGTAAAAGATGATTTAGCTCGATTTTGAAGGGTTGTTTATTAATTTGCCAGTTGTGATACTACTTTTCACCAATTAAATGGTTCTGAAGGACTATATAATATTAAAACACAATAATAATTATTGAATATTTAATAATTAACCGTTGCATTATAAAGGAAGGAGGTGGTTCGTGGTGGCGGTCATAAATAAACTAAATAGTGGCAAATCTATTTTTATTAAAAGCCAACGTTTTGACCCGATTTTGCAAGTCTTCTTCAGGGCTAGAACGGACAAGATACAAAAAGATATAGAGAATCGTGGAAGTTACATAATATCAACAATGTGAATAAGGTTATTAAAATTATAAACAGTAACTACATTAAAATATAAACAGAGTAAACTAAGTAACAAGATCCTAAACTGAAGTAAATAGATGGTAACATTGTTGTGCAAAAAAATTGTTATGGTAACAATATATGCAAATGTGAATATGCTTGTACAGGTCTACAGGAGTGATTGAAAGAAAAGTAAAAGGGATATAATATGAAATAATATACATAAAGGAACGTGGAGAAAGGGAAGAAAAAAAAGAAACTAAAAATAAATAAATAAGTAAATAGAATTAGAAGAATAAAAATGGAGACTTACAGGTAGGAGCACACCCCTAAGCCTCTATTTATACACCACATTGTGGCTGGCGGTTCTTGATTTAGGCACTCATAATCTAATTAATCGATTATTAGAATTATCGAACTGTCTTCAACCATCGACTTTCGTTGCTCTAGCTGGTGTTGCTATTTTTAATTGTGGATGTTATGTGCATGTTATCTTATGTTTATCTTTTTAGCCTTTTCACTGCCAGTTAGATAGATAGATAAAGAGATACAGCGATAGATATATCGATTATCCGATGAGTTGCCTGCACACCTGGGACCGTTGATTAGGTCCGGCGGCGGCCATCTTCTCCTTTGATCGCCGTCGTGACGAGATCTGAGGGAGGCCCCTGTCTGCCATCTTGTGTCCAGTCTCTGTTAGTCATCCATCTTATTATTTGCTACAAATAGGTCAACACCTAGTGGTAGTGGTAGTAGCATAGCAATCTTATGTTTATTTAGTATCATTATAGTTGTGTAATATAAACCACACTAATTCACTCCTTCATCGAAATCATGCCAAATTTTGTCATATTACTACACCGAAATTTCATCAAACAACTGTTTACTATAATGTTTACAACATAAAGCTATTCTGCAATCTTTGGATCATATTAGGTATATGTAGTAGGTAGGTGTATTACTGTATATTACATGTCAATACTTTATATCACCTTTTTTTAAAACATGTAATAGAAAGGCATAACTTATTATTGTTACTATTTTTCTTTTTAATTCTTTTATTGTGTATATATTTAATTTTTTTAAAATTATTTTCAAGGTCAATACTTCATTGGTAGTGTTCTAAAGTCTAATTTTCTTTTTGAAATCATGTTTTTTAAAATTAATTTATCATTTTTTATATAAAAAAAAAATATTTCTCCTAATTATGATTTTTCAAATAATTATTTTATTTTATTTTTGTTTTCGTTCTCCTCTTCCTCGCATTTTAGGCTATATGTGAGCCTATTAGGCCAGGAGGTGAGGGCGAGGGATTAATACCACAGTTAGAAAACTCCACTGGCACCGGACGCGAACTCCATACTTATTTTATTCCGTTTAAACTTCGGTTAGCCCGGGCAACCTGATAACCGAAGCTTAATTCATTCAGTAAACAATTATGTATTTAAGGTTAAAAAAAAATCTGAATATTGCTGGATTCGGTGATTCTTTTTCCCTCACTGAGCTGGCAATCCAGTCCTACATTTATTTCTTATGTCTTCTCTAATAAAAAATAAATAAGTAAATTTCAATCACGTTGTGCAACGATATATGAATATAATAACCTCTCTTGGGAAAAGTGAATGGATGATTCTATTATTTTTGTTGGGGGCCTCCTAAAACTCAGTTACCATTGTTTTCTTAATTTCCTTGATTCTTACTGCCATCATAATTACTTTATTCGACGAAGTTTTTTTTACTTACGAAGTTAAGTTACTAGATTTCGCTATTGATCCATCGCTATACAAAATATCTTGTGGATGAGAAGCTTAATTTATCTAGTAAACCGAAGAAGAGATAATTGGACTAATAATCATTAGGAGGAGGCAGGAGATTGGAGATAGTAGCCAGCCAATGGGAGTGCTGCTGGGCGGCGGCACGAGGCCACAATCAACACGTGGCTGGGGGGGGGAGACCTGCGAGCTGACCCAGACCTAGCTATCGACCGCTCTCATCGTCTGTCTGTCCATCTCTCTTTATATATATATATATATATATATATATATATATATATATATATATATATATATATTCTATTGATAAATATATATTCGTTTATATTGATATAAACGAGTAAATATTCACCAAGAGAAAGAATATATATTACAATTAAACCTCAAAATTTATTGATTGAAGTTATCGTACCCTAGGGTTGCGATATTAAGGCTGTTAGAGATAAATATTTGGCCTTGATTATTAAATTAAAAGTGTAAAATTTAAGTCACAAATTAACAAAATTAATAAACCTCATCATAATACTAAAATATATTTGTTACTTGGTTATATTAAAACTATGGTGAAAATAAATTCACTTTTTACTTTTTTTTTTTTTTATTTAATTTTTTTACAGGGAATCTTTTAAATCCCGCCCACACTCCCTGGCCCGGGAAAGTCCCATATAGCCTTAACGGCGCGGCGAGGAAGGGAAGGACCCAAAAAAAAAAAATAAAAAAAAAAATAAAATAAAAAAAAAAATAAATAAATAAAAAAAAAAAATAACGGCACATGCGTTAGCCCATTCGGCTACCCCGCCCACTCACCTATGTATGAAATAGGTAAGTATTGCGGTCGTGAAAATTTTCGAATCACAGTTTTCAACGGAACGATACGTTTTGAGATCTCTTAAGTCCAAATAACCAAGTCCCGCATAATAATATGCGTGTGTGTGTGAACATCGTAGCTCAAAAATGAAAAGTCATACGAAACTTATATTGCGTATTTAAGGTTTATATTTACCTGGGCTGTTACAGAAACCTTTTCTTCAAAAAAGGCAAACTGTCAGCGATACTTTATGTCATCAATTTAACTCATTTCTAATATTTTCTCTGAAATGGCTCTAACGATTTTGATTAAACTCATGATATAGTAAAATTATGCAGATTTTCATATAATGTAGGTTTTATTCTCATCCATGTTCTCTAACAGGGCTTAAATAGCTAATTATCAATATTAGCTTCCTCTAAAGTAAAGTATCTTTCATTTTTTTTTTTTATTTGAAACTATTAACCATTTCGCATTGATCTCTGATATAAAAAATAGTTAACTATAAAATATGAAAGAATTTGATAATAATTAACTAATGAAGAAATATCAGAAATAGAACCGTGCCCGAAAGATAGAACAATGTTTCTTACGTTACGTGAGCTTAATATAATAGGAACTGCGACAATATTATGTATATATATATATATATACTTCTCCTCTGTCTGAAAATACTTATTTCTGCTAAGAAGGTGGTAAGTGAAAGTTGTGCGATGCCCGTAAATGTTTTTTTTTTTAAATATATGGTTAGTGAGGTAAGATCATATGGATTCGTATCTAAAATGGACTTGTCTGTTATTGTCAAAAAGTCGAGAAAAAGCCAAATTTTATTACATGGCTTCTAATTCTCATGATTTTTTTTTTTATGAAATGATTTCCAAATGTATTTCATCGCGGTCAGAAAAAATCGATGTCATCTTGATTCTCTAGCCATATTTAGAGTTTTAATTAACGATTTAAAAAATTTCGAATATCACAACATATAACTTGCAATATTTGGAAACTACTTAATAAAATTATTTTTTTTAAATAAATTTAAAAATTAATATTTTCTCACAAGAACGGAGTTTAATGTTTCGTGTTTCTAAATTAAATTCCCTCATGCCTTAAATGCCAATTTCCTATACAATGGGATCACATCTGCTTATTGTTAATACCATGACAGGTGTGGAGAGAAGTATGAAGGGAGAAAAAAAAATCATCTTTAGATTCGATTGCTTTTATTCTATTAAAATTAATTATGTACATATTAAAACGTATACTTGACAACTTATGAAACAGTATATATATTAATCAAATTTATTTCTATTGAATATTATAAGGAGTATCGTTATTTTATATAAAACCTTATGCCTTGAAAGATATGTAACTATTGGAGTAGTGGATCCAAAGTTTAATTTTCTATTCTATTTTTCAATAATTATAACGGTGAATACTCTGGACGTTATAGAAAGGAACTATATAAAATCATGTTAAAATATCTCTTGAAGATCGATAATCATAAAATAAATTCAAGTGATAATAATGCTTTTAGAGATAGTTTATTATTTTTTATTTTTTTTTTTGACACGTTGATTATACTTAATAGCTGGATTTGCATTATTGTTTTAAAAAGTATATATTGTGATTCCTTAAGTAATTCGTTTTGCTCTATTTTTTTATGTATAGTCCCTAAAAAGCGAAATAGGGAAGAACAAAAAAAAAACCTGTAGTTCAGATCATTAAAAGAAACAAATATAGAACGAAAAAAAAATATTTTTCCGATTTCCGGACTTCAGTCCCAAAGCTCCCCTCCCCTTCTCCATGGATCCATTAGTTAACTAATGTTATATCATTTCGTCATTGAATAAAGTTTTAATCTTATGTTATTTAATTTACCCCAATAAATGGAATATGTTATTACAACTTTTTAAGAAATTGAAACATTAAAACAAACTGTTTGAAAGATATATAATTAATATTGTATTATTTTGTCACGTTATACCTTTTAAATATAATAATAATTTATATTTCTTAATAAATCGAATATATTATATTAAAAAAAGCAATGTAAGATTGTTAAAGTAAACTGTACAAAATACCTCTAAATAATAATCATTAAAATATTTTATCAATAACTGTTATCTGATTTCTAATCTTTTTCATCGATATGCTACATTAAATTTTTAAAAAAATATCTCTAATAATCCGATATTTGTCCTCAGTAATATAAATAAATAAATATTTAATAAATTATAGTAATAAAATATCTGTGAACAATAACAAAAGAGTGCGCTCTGTTATGAAGAATGTTTTAGTTTGAATATTTCAATTTTTTCCCTATAGAGTGTCATAGGGTAGGCGTTGGCGGTAAACTGCCTCAGCCAATCAGGAGCCGGCTTACATCAGAATCAAGTTGACCGCGTCTCATCTTCAATAGTTGGGATTTAATTTGACTCTGTGCGGTTCGGTTTGTATTCAATTGCTAAAAGTTCATTTTAAATAAGTGAATAGTCGCTTAAGTGTGTGATAATGTCGATTTAGTTTAATTTCTTATTTGCTCAGTTAATATTTTATTTAATTCCGTATCGAAATCTGCTTGTTTTAAAAAACAAAGCTGATAATAGTGGACTTCAAGAAAGAAGATGGCCATATTGAATCTTTCTGCTGTGAGTTATGAATTTTAAACACTTAATGCATGATAATTATTTTTTTCGTCATTTGATTAGATAGATATTTTTTCATGTATTTTCTTTCAGAATAAACTGTATTATAACATATCGTTCCTTCATATTTAATTTAATTAAGTTTAATTCATTATCTATTATTTTTTCATAAATAGATTTGAAATTATTATAGCTATATTGAATTTTTTTTTCTTTAGATTATCATTTAGGTATCACAAATGAAGTTTCTTATAAATAAATACTATTCAGGAGTAATATTTTTTAACCTACTAAAATTTAGTTCCCACTTTTAATTTTTGTCCTTATCTTTATTTTTTTTAATGTGTCATTCTATACAGAATAGATTGATTTTGTTGGTAATTATTTAGATGAGACAGCGCGGGTAATGCATCGTTCACAATCACTACGGTCCCACTTCTTAATAGAGTAACGA